GCAGCAGCAGCAGCTCGCGAGAAAACTCCGGAGCAGCTCGCGCTTGCTGCAGCGGAAGCAGCAGCAGCAGCAGCAGCAAAGGGGCTCGGTGCTGCTGCTCTCGAGAAACTCGGCAGTGTACGTACAGCTGAAATCATTGGAGATGAAGAAAGACTTACAGGAGATGTCCGAATGTTTATGGCAAGAAGCCGTCAGGTGTATAGGGAGGTGCTGCAGCACCAGCAGCTGCAGCTGCTGCGGCACAGCAAGATGCAGCAGCAGCAGCAGCAGCAGCAGCACCTGCAGCAGCAGGCCGCCCGCAGCAGGAGCATCAGCGACGCTGAGACGGAAGACGACTCCGACTACGAGCTCTCCGACGTCGCTGTCAACCTCAGCAGCAGCAACAGCAGCAGCAGCAGCAACAGCAGCAGCAACGGCAGCAGCTCCCCCACGGCGTCTCTTCACCCAGCGGAGGGGCCCGAGAGTCCTGCCTTTCCTGCTGCCTACTGCAGCAGCACCACTCCACTAGCTGCCGACGCTGCTGAGCGGAGCAGCAGCAGCAGCAGCCGCAGCAGCAGCAGCAGTAGTAGTAGCAGCAGCAGCAGGTACCCCGCGCGCAGGCACCCCGTCAGCCCCTGCAGCGTCCCCGAAAACAGCAGCAGCAGCAGCAGCAGCGACACGGATGTCAGCAGCGAAGTGGAAGAAAACGAAATGGCAGAATTGCTAGACGACGCCCTTGCGGGCAGCCCGCTTTAGCAGCAGCAGCAGCAGCAGCAGCTGCAGCAGCAGTTGCTGCTGCTGCTGCAGCACCCCGCTGTTGTCGCTGCAGCAGCTAGACATCCCAACTCGTGTGACTGTACCCAGCAGCAGATGTGTGAGCTGCTGCAGCCTCTGGCTCTGCGGCTCCTGCTGCAGGACTGCATGGCTGCTGCTGTTGCTGCTGCTGCAGCAATGGGCGCATTGGCAGTGCAGCCCCTGGATTTTTTGAGCAGCAGCAGCACGCTGCTGCATTTATGACCTGCAGCGGCCCTGTGTAGCTGCTGCTGCGGCAGCCAAGGGGCAGCTGCAGCGCTTGCTGCCGTAGCAGCAGCAGCAGCACTTGCTGCAGTAGGATCTGCAGCAGGATCTGTTGCTGCCCCGCGCAACCCACAGCGCGAATTCAAAGGGAGACTCAGAAATGTCAGTTAAACGTTTGAGCAGCAGCAGCAGCAGCAGCAGCTCGCGCCGCTGCCGCTCTTGCCAAGCCCGAAGGGCCTCTCTTTAATTAGGTTAAATGGAATGTGCGCCGCTAGTGATGCGGCCAAATCAGGCTCTGCTGCTGCTGCTGCTGCAGTTGCTGCAGCAGCAGCAAAACAGTTGGCGTTGCAGCCAACGCAGCAGCAGCGATCGCAGCAGCAACCGCAGCAGCAAGCACACTTGGTGCTGCGCTGCTTCCCACTTCGAACCATCTGGAAAGACACCAGAGCAGCTGTAGCGTCGGCAACACCATCAGCTCCTGCTGCTGCTGCTTCTGCTGCTGGTAAGCAGCACGGCTTTGCTGCCGTGCACCCTCAGCCTGTACACGCAAGTGTACTTGCTGTTGCCGAAGTTTTCTAAAAACTCAAAAACAATCTTTTTGATGGGTTGCTGCTGCTGCTGCACTTGAAAGCGGCAGCTCTTGCTGCCTTGCTGCAGCACGAACTCCCCCAGCAGCAGCGGCGCCCCCGCTGCTGCTGCTGCTGCTGTGTTACTGGGCTGCCTTGAGAGCATCGACAGCAGCCAGGTGGCTGCACTGCTGCTGCTGTCTGCAGGCAGCATCTTCAGCGAGCTCTTCCCGCCGCTGCTGCTGCTGGCGCTGCTGCTGCTGCTGCTGCTGCTGCTGCTGATGATGATGGGAGAGTGAGGCGGCGCATACAACCTCGAGTCAGAATAACCCCACACTCGCATCCGCTTTGGGGCTGTGTCCCTCGTGAGCACTGACATCATGTCGTCTACGGCGACGGACTGTACGTACACCTGAACAGCAGCAGCAGCAGCAGCAGCAGCAGCTCCTGCGTTGCTTCTCCCTGCTGCGGAAACGGCTCTGGGCCTTCACTGGAGCTGCCGCTGCGAAGCAGCTACAGCTTCCAGTCTTTACCCACAGCAGCAGCAGACAGCGCAGCGGTCACACCAGGACGGCAGCAGCAACCAGCAGCAACAGCAGCGACAACTTGCCCAGCTGCAGCAGCGGCAACAGCAACAACCTGCCCAGCAGCAGCGGCAACATCCTGCCCAGCAGCATCAGCCGCCGCAACAGCACCAACAACCTGCCCAGCAGCCGCAGCAACAGCACCAACAACCTGCCCAGCAGCAGCAGCAACAGCCTGCCCAGCAGCAGGAGCAGCAGCAGCAGCAGCAGCAGCAGCAGCGCGCGCACTGCTGTGGGCAAAAGGATGGCAATGCGGCCTGTGGGGCCCTTGAAGGCGTAGCAGTTTCCTGGCAGCCGCTCAGGCCTCAAGACCATTTCGGGGGGTCTGTGCAGCAGCGCTGCTGCAGTTTGCTGCTGCGGCAGCCCCAGCAGCTGCAACAGCTGCTGCTGCAGGCCCCCCAGCACGCTTCCTCTGCAGCAGCAGCAGCAGCAGCAGCAGCAGGAACGGCTGCCTTTGCTCGTGAGCAAGGACCCACGCAGCCGCAGCAGCAGCAAACAGCGCGGAAGCAGCAGCGAATGAAGCAGCAAGAAGCAGCAAAGACAAAAAAGATTAAAAATAAAAAATAAAAAGCAAAATTAAAAATAAAAACCCACGGAGGTATCAAGGGAGGAGATGTTTCATTGTGTGAAATTCGCGCGCCCACAGACTCCAAAGCCCAGTCCACTTCTGCTTCGTCTTCCACAGACAATCTGCAGCAGCAGCAGCAGCAGCACAGCAGCAGCAGCAGCAGCAACACAGCAGCAGCAGCACATCAACAGGACAGCAGCAGCAGGGATAAGTGGATGAAACAAAAACAGAAGAGGAGGAGAGGATACTGCTTGTCAATCTAGCAGCAGCAGCTGCAAGGCAAAAGGCAGCAGCAGCAGCAGCGGCAGCACAGAAGCAGAACAAGGAGCCTCACTTCGCATGCACTTCCTCTATTTTCTGACGCAGCCCAGGGGGCAGTGGCTGGGAGCCTGCAGCAGCAGCAGCAGCAGCAGCAGCAGCAACCGATGCAGGACCGCAGCAGTAGCTAGAGTTCACACTTTCTAGGCTCTAGGGTTTAGCGAGGGTTTAGGGTTTGGGGCCCCCAGCCACCTGCTATCTCGAGGCGCTGCTGCAGCCGCTGCAGCTGCTGCTCAAACTGAAGGTTCTTTGCTTCCAACTGAGCAACATGTTGCTGCAGCAACAGCAGCAGCAACAGCAGACGCAGCAGCCGCAGCAACAGCGTCTACGGAGGCAGGCCTTGCAGCAACTCCAGCAGCTACCACGGCAGCCCACCTCACAAGTCAGCAGCAGCAGCAGCAGCAGTAGTGAGAGCAACGAACCACGAAACAGCAGCAAACCCCACGCTCCTGCTGCTGCTGCTGCTGCTGCCTCTGCTGCTGGTATACCCCGCACCTTTGCTTCTGCCATTTCTTCAGCCAGGGCCTCCCTTTGTGCTGCAGCAGCTGCTGCTGTTGCTGCTGCTGCAGCAGCTGTTCAAGCTGCTGCTGCAAAAGCTGCTGCTGCTGCACATGCTGCTGCTGCTGCTGCTGCATTGCAACGCGCTGCGCTGCCAACTCTCGCCTCAGCGCAGCAAGCTCAGGGGAGGGCTCGGGCGCCTGCAAAACAAACCCTAGATCCTAAACTCTAAACCCTAAACCCTAAACCCTAAGCCCTGAGCTGGGTGTGGTTTATAGGGTTTGCCAGGAAAATCTATAGGTCCACCTACTGGCGCTGCGGTGTTAGATGCGGCCTGACAACAAACACAAGAAACCCTAAACCCTAAACCCTAAGTACTAAACCCTAAACCTTAAACCCTAAACCCTAAACCCTTGGGTGCAGCGGTGCGCGGCACTCACTGAGGCTGGCGGCTGGGGCTGCTCTTCGGAGTGGAAGACGAGGCCCGCTGCTGCGAGCAGCAACAGCGCAGCAGCAGCAGCAGCGAGCAGCAGCAGCACAGCAGCAGCAACACCTGCTGCTGTCTTCTTCCGCCTAAACAAACCCCCCAGCAGCTGACGCTGCAGTAAAGCCACCAGATCATCGACATCGACTTCTTCTCTTCTCGCAGCAATCCGAGCTGTACATACACCCGAGCAGCAGCAGCAGCAGCAGCATCTGCTGCTGCTGCACGAGCGATACCATCAGCTGCCGCTGCTGCACCAGGAGCCGCTGCAGCTGCCGCGGCGGCAGCTTTGCTGCCAGCACCAGTAGCTGCAGCAGCCGCAACGGCCGGAATAGCAAAACAGCGGGCAGCGTAGCAGCAGCACGCAGCAGCAAGCAGCAGCACTCACGCATTTCGCTGCGCTGCTGCAGCGCAGCAGAGGCCCGCCCCGACACAGTGTCTTGACAGCCGGCCAAAGGCAGCCAACTCGGGCGCCACCGGCTTTGGCGATGTACTGCAGCAGCAGCAGCAGCAGCAGCAACAACAACAGGACTTGCAGCAGCAGCAGCAACTGGGGCTGCAGCAGCAGCTGCCGCAGCGAACCAAATGCAGCAGCGGCGAAGCAGCGCATTCACGCTAGCAGCAGCACCTAAAAATGGGAAATACAGTTCCAGCCGCGGCAGCGGCAGCAACAGCAGCAGCAAGAGCAGCAGCAGCAGCAGCAGCAGCAGCCTACTCAAGCGAGAGACTGAGGCCGAGTGAGTCCCAGGGGAGGCCACGTCTCGGTGGTGCTGCTGCTGCAGCAAATCGTGCTGCTGCTGCTGCTGCTCATGACAAAGAAGGCCGCCGACAGCATCGGAAAGATCTGAGCCTTCGTCTGCACAGAGATCCATGCAGCAGCAGCAGCAGGGCTGCAGCAGCAGCAGAGGTGGAGCAGCAGCAACGGCTGCACCAACTGCAGCAAACAGCTGGGGCGGCAGCAGCAGCTGCAGCAAGGGCGGCGCCATTATTTTGGGGTGTATGTACAAATCAGCATACCTTCAGAGATGTTTGTTGCTGTAGTGACATTTGCAGGTGTCGCTATCTCTGCTGCTGCTGCTGCTGCTGCTGCTGCTGCTTCTCCCTGTAGAAAAGGGTCTGCGTCAGCGCCTCTGCTGCTGCGTTTGCTGGCAAAGACCCCTCCATAGAGGTGCTGCTGCTGCTGCTGCTGCAGCAGCTCGTCTTGCTGCTCCTGATGCTGCTGAAAGGCAGGGCGAGGCATCCGGCGATGCAGCGGCAGGGCCCCGTGAGGGAGCCCGCCGCCGCTGCTGCTGCTGCTGCTGTTGCTGCTGTATACTTGCTGCTGTTCCCTGTATAGGTAAGGACCCTCAGCCTCCGTGCTGCCGCGGCTGTTGCGGTTCATTGTGGCTGTGCTGCTGCTGCTGCTGCTGCTGCTGTCAGCACGGCATTTGCTGCACCTCTGGCCCAACAAGAAATGTCTGCTGCTGCCGTTGTGGTGCTAAGACACAACTGGCCGCCCCAGGTGGTGCTGCGGGAGCAGCAGCAGCAGCAGCAGCAGGCGCTGCTCGGAGCTGCGCCCTTTAGCTGTCTCTCGTGCCTCCGCAGCAGCAGCAGCTGCTGCTGCTGTCCCTTTAGCAGGCCTCCCGCTGTAAACTGCCTTTGTGGAGCAGATTTGGAGGAGCAGCAGCAGCAGCTGTTGTGGTGCTGCAGCAGCAGCAGCAGCAGAACCACACGCACAGGGGGACGAATGCCTCAGATGTCACCTCTGCAGCAATTAAAAGCTATATTTAAAGTAGCAAACGAAAAATTGGTCCCTAACAGCAGCAGCAACAGCAGCAGCAGCAGCAGCAGCAACCGTAGTGGTAGCTGGAGAGTGACCAGCCCCAGCAGCAACACGCATGGCATGCGCTCAACGCAGCAACTGCAGCAGCAGCAGCAGATGCTTCTTATAAAGACAAAATTAAACAAAAAATAAAGGTAAGAAAAGGGCCACAGCACAGCTGCGGGCAGCGCCGGCGACGGAAGCCGCCGCAGCAGCAGCAGCAGCTGCAGCAACAGCAGCAGCGCGAGCAGCAGGAGCCAATTCCCCACTCATTTGCCTCTCCTGCTTCCTGTCGGGCGCCCGAGCAAATGGAAAGCCTACAGCCACTGCAGCAGCAGCAGCAGCAGCACCAGCAGCAATCTTAACTGCTGCTGCGCCGACAGCCCAGTGTCAATGAAATTACCTCTGCTGTCTGCAGCACTTTGATGCTCACAAACTTCGAATTATTCTGGCAGCTACAGCAGCGAAAATGCCGCAGCAGCAGCAGCAGCATATGTGCAGCAACAGCAGCCTGCAGCAGCGGCAGGAGCAGCAAATTGGGCTGCAGCAACTGTAGCAGCAGCGGATGGCCACCGGCACTAACTCGCAGCAGCAGCGAGGGAGACAGTGCGGCTGGAACAACGTTTCAAGCAGCAAGTAGATCCAGCAGCAGCAACAGCTGCAGCAGTAGCTGCAGCAGCAGCACAGCACATTGTGACCCACAAGCGGGCAAGCAGCTGCGCGTGCTGCTGCTGCCGTTGCAGCAGCAGCAACAGTAGCCGCACCAGCTGCTGTCATTACTTCCCCTAGTGATTTTGATCGCCAGCAGCAGCAGCAACCGCTGCATCTCATTCGGCAGCAACTGCAGCAGCAGAAGCAGCAGCAGCCGTGCTGCTGCAGCAGCAGGATGCGGGGTGGCTGGGACTCGTCTTTGCTGTCTTCATCATCATGCTGTTCAGACACCTCAAATTCCTCTGATAGCAGCGACGGTGAAAATGCAGCAGCAGCAGCAGCAGCAAATGTGCATCAGCAGCAGCAGCTGCATGCCCACCCTCATCACCTTCATCGACACCATATTCTGCAGCAGCAGCATTTGCTGCAGCAGCAGCATTTGCAGCAGCACCCCTTACAGCAGCAGCAGCAGATGCATCACCTGTCACTGCACCCACAGCAGCAGCAGCAAGTGCAGCAGCAGTTGCAGCAGCAGGTGCAGATGCAGCAGCATCTGCCGCTCGAGCATGCGCCTGAGCAGCAGCAGCAGCAGCAGCAAAGAGGTGGCCGACCCCGGGCTTCAAGAAGAGGCAGAGGCGGAGTTAGACGTGGCGGCAGCAAGGCAAAGGCGGGACCTCCTAGCAGCAGCAGCAGCGGCAGCAGCAATGGCAGCCGAAGCAACGGCAGCAGCAACGGCAGCAGCAGCACTCCCCATGTGGTAGCGGAAGCTACTGATGCTGTTGCTTCTGTTCGCCAAATGCAGCAGCAGCAACACATCTTTAGCCAGCAGCAACTGCAACAACGACAAGGCTTGCTGCTGCAGCACCACCAGCTGCAGCAGCAAATCGATCAGCTCCAGCAGGGCACGCTGCAGCAGCAGCATCACTTTCTGCAGCAGCAGCAGATGCAGCAGAAAGTGGAGCAGCAGCAGCATATGGGACAGCAGCAGCAGATAAGGCAGCAGCTGCCGCGGCAGGAGCTGCAGATTTCGCCCGAGGAGTATTGGAGAGAGCAGCAGCGGCTGCGTCCCGGTGTCAGCACAGCAGCAGCAGCTGCTGCTGCTGCTGCTGTTGCTGCTGCTAACGAATGTGAGGCAGCGGTTGCTGCTGATATTGCCGCAAGAGATCAGCAGGAGAGGCAGGAGCGGTTGCAGCAACAAGAACTGCAGCAACAACTTCAGCTGCAGCAGCAGCAGCTGCAGCAACAGCAGCTGCAGCACCAACAGCTGCAGCAGCAACAGATACAGCAACAACAGATGCAGCAGCAACAGCTCCAGCACCAACAGCTGCAGCGCCAACAGCTGCAGCACCAACAGCTGCAGCAGCAGCAGCTGCAGCACCAACAGCTACACCAGCAACATATACAGCAGCAGCAACAGATGCAGCAGCAGCAACAGATACAGCATCATCAACAGATACAGCAGCATCAACAGATACAGCAGCAGCAACAGATACAGCAGCAGCAACAGGTACAGCAGCAGCAACAGATACAGCAGCAGGAACAGATACAGCAGCAGCAACAGATACAGCAGCAGCAACAGATGCAGCAGCAGCAACAGATACAGCAGCAGCAACAGATGCAGCAGCAGCAACAAATGCAACAACAGCAACAGACGCAGCAGCAGCAACAGATGCAGCAGCAGCAACAGATGCAGCAGCATCAGCAACACCTGCAACAGCAGCCGCAGCTACAGCAACAGATTCCGATGCACCCACAGCAGCAGGAGCTGCTGCAGCAGCAACAGCAGTTGCCGTTGCATATTGAGCAGCAGCAGCATCTGCAGCATCAGATGTCGGCGCACCAGCTGCAGCATCCGCTGCAGCATCCGCTGCAGCATCAGCAGCAAATGCAGCAGAAGCAGGTGCAGTATCAGCAGCAGCAGCTGCAAGCGCAGCAACAGCAAACATTTCAGTCACTGCAGCAGCCCATACAGCAGCAGCAGCCAGGACTTCCGCACCAGCAAATGCCGCAGCAGCTGCTTGTGCCGCAGCAGGACCGCCAGCAGCAGCAGCACCTGCAGCAAGAGCACGAACTGCAGCAGCAACAGCAGAAACAGCAGCAGCTGCTAGAGCAGCCGCAGAAGCAGCAGCAGGAGCAGCAGCAGGAGCAGCAGCAGCAGCAGCAGGAGCAGCAGCTGCAGCAATGCTCTCCGGGTCCCTCTCCAGTTGTGGAGGAGCCAGAGCAGGAGCAGCAGCTCATGCAGGACCAGCAGCAGCAGCAGATGCAGCAGCAGCTCAGTCAGCAGCAGGAAGATCTCAAAGAGAAGGCGTCAGTGGCGTTGGCAGCAACTGCTGCTGCTGCTGGTGCTGCTGCTGCTGCAGGCGAGGCACCGTGTGCCGCTGCGTCGGAAGCAACTGGTGGTGCAGCGGCAACGCTGTCGCAGGAAGCAGCAGCAGCTGCAGACCCAGCAGCAGCAGCAACAGCACATACAGCAGCAGCAGCAGCAGAGGCA